CCCTTGAGTCACAGGGCATAAGTGAGTTTCAAGGACGGTCAGGCCTCTGCTATATCATATTATTTGGTGGTAGTCTCGAAACCCTACTTACTTACGCATATAAACTTATTTCAGTCTATCACTAATCTGCCTATAGCTATCAACGAAAGACAATCCTCGCCCGACTTTCGGTTCAAATAGCTCTCGGATATTTTTCGTACTATCTTTACAGAAATCAAGAGAAGCACAAGCAACCCGGCGCAAATGAGTTCCCCTAAATAAAATTTTTAATCCCACTTGTAACCAGCACAAAGTTACCTGACAAATACATGTTTGCTTAACCGATTATCCCACTGTACATGTTGGTTGAGCTAGGCCTTGATTGCCTCGATTGTTGCGCATGGCCCTTGACTCACTGGCACCAGTGGCCATGTGGTGGAGTTGAGTTTTAATATTGCCACCATACCCACGACCCAGTATCGAATTTCGCTAAGGCTGCTGAGGAGACCAAGGCGATATCAAAACAACGATCCACTTTGGAGGATATAGCTTTTTGGAAGGCAAGGCTAAGTGAGAGCCAGCGACATCTCTTTGTCGAAAAATTTAACTATCAGTCCTTAAATCAACTTAAACAGATCCTATGTATGAAGACTAAGATGGTGTGGCCTTTTGTGTGGTCACAGTCTCCTTTCGTTGTATATAAGTTGTTTGACCTTGTTTTCGCAACTTGATCATATTGATAGATCATATTGGTAGAAAGACTTAGAGGAACGCACCTAGTCCGGAGTCTATTGTATGCATCATCATTTCCAGAGTAGGACCGCGGACTTGGTACATTCCCAGACGTTTCGCCGGCATCGTCAGTGAGTCTTGCCATTCTCAGCACCACACTACAACTCGTCAATAAGACAAGTAAAGCCGATCATTTGACTAAACGTGTGCTAAACAGTTGTGGTATCTTCACTTTTGACCTGGGCTATTCACATTTCCTATATCCTCGTATCACGCCTTCACTGTTAAAGTTTATTTCCGTGCTTATTTAGATGTAGAATGGTGTGCTCCTTTGAGCGGCATTCATGAAAACCATCCACACTCCACGCTGGCGTTCTCACCCCCTTCACTCTTATGCTGGGAATGTTGATCAGAGTCTGCCATATTGTTACGCATTCCTCCTTCAGGGAGACTCTGATAAGACCTATGGAAGGAGGACTATGTAATAATATGGCAAAATCTGATCAATATTCCCAACACAAGGGTGAAGTGTGGGTAAGAGCGCCAGCGTGGAATGTGGATGGTTTTCATGAATGCCGTTCAAAGGAGCACCATACTGCATCTAAATAAGCACGGTAAAATTGTAATAGTGAAGGCGTGATACGAAGATATAGGAAATGTGAATAGGCCAGGGCAGAAGGGGAGATACCACAACTGTTTAGAACACGTTTGGTCAAAGGATCCGCTTCACTTGTCTCTTTGACGAGCTATAGTGTGGTGCTAAGAATGGCAAGACTCACTGACGATGCCGACTACGATGCCGGCGAAACGTCTGGGAATGTACCACATCCGCGGTCCTACTCTGGAAATGATCATGCATAAAATGGACTCAGGATTAGGTGCGTTCCTCTAAGTCTTCCTACCAATATGACTAAGTTGCGAAAACAAGGCCGAACAACTTTTGAACAGATCCTATTCAAGAATTACTCGTAGTCTTGAAAACTACCTCCATCGGAAATGTTCACTCAGCATCAAATGAATTTAGCTTGCGGAGCACTTACTAATGGAATATTTCTAACCGGTTTTTACTTATAACTGGTGGTCAACAGACTAATACAAAGTTTATTTGATATAAAGTATGAAGACCCAGATGGTGTGGCCTCCTGTTTAGTCACTGTCT